ACGTACTCTCCCCAAGCCTAGTCAACCACGATAGCCGTTGCACCGCCAGCCGTAGTGATTTGCTTAAACTCCCTATTATCATAGTCTGCACTGTCTTTGCATTATTTCCATCATGAAATAGCGACTACGAAAAGGCTAGAAAGTCAGTGAACTACAAAAATGGTTTCGTAGTAGATATCTATATATCTAAGCTAGTTTCTTAACTTGAAAGGAAATGTTCTGTCTCCGCGTCAACACCAAATCTTAGCATTCAACGAGCGCAGCGTTATCCTTAAATTTATTTATCTTCCTTTAAGCTTCCTTTCTTTGCTGCTTTTTTTTCTCGCCTGGTAAAAGAAGTACTACGTAAAATCATTTCGTCTTAAATTTAGAAATTAAAGATACCCTAGGACATAGAATCCTATTGTATATTATTTTTTTCTTTTCCTATTTTAAAGCCCCACCGCTACCTCCGTTTCGATCTACTTTACCCGTTATAGTTTGAATTCCATTTTAAAATAGATCAGCTTTTGATAAATGGAACGTGCGTTTCATATTAGAATCATTATCATGCAAAGTGGTCCTGAAGCAAACCCGAGCGTTTTGATTGGTTCTTTCTTTGTCGGGATTTTTTTCTTACAGAAATGGGCATTTACTGTGTATTTTGGTAGCGGAAGGCGGCCATTTCAAAGTAAACAATAATATTTAACTGATGTCGATCATGTAATAAGTTTCTCTTTCTTGTTTTCTCGTTGTAAATTGAATTCCAGGGGTTAAGTCTTTGTAGTGGATACCTACCCTCGGACTTTTAACGGTTGCCAGTTACGAAAAAAAAAATCGAGCTTCATTTTGATTAAACTGTTTCAGCAAAATTGAAAATTATTGCACCTGTTCAAATTTATCATTCTGTAAATGCATTTTCGATTTCAGTAAAATGCCAGTCAGTTTTAAGGAGTAGTACGAGCCAGTTTTGTCAGGAGTATCATTTGACTGACGATGCTGAGCAATTCCTTTGCACCACCCTTTTGTAAGTTGTTTCAAATTCGAAAATTGGCGAAGTGATTATGAGACTATGTTGCCAGTTTTTTGTGCTCATAAATTAGATATAGACTCTCTTGAGTATTCTGTTTTCAAGTGCATTAAAACAACCTCTCTTGAAAGAATTCTTTGTCAAATCTTTTGTCCAAAGTTGCACCAACTTTATTGCGATGTTTCACAAAGTAGTAGCTTACATCTTTTTAAGGATGATGATGATGAAAAATGTTGCTTTCTTGTCAATAACGTTACAGGTGTTGACGTTTTCAATTAAACGAAGTCAGCCTGAAGCAAAATTTATGAAACCAGTCATAACTGTACAGCAATTAGTTAACACTGTCTGTGTACTCTTTCCTGCCTCCCTGCACTGATCTAAATGACACTTTTCTCGACGTTTTAGCAATATGATGTTAAAAAAAGCTTAAAGATATTAGATATTAGATATTGCTTTTGTCGCAAAAAATAAAACCTGGCAACCGGGTAAATACTAATCCTCAATAGAAAGTCAAACGTGCCTGATTAAGTGCTGCAGCAACATTCTTAGTCTACATGCTTCTCTTGCGAGATAAAATAACTAATCATTGTTACATCATAATATGCTGAGAGCGCATTATTATGCGAATGAGTGCAAGTAAGTTGTGGACTTCCTTAATTCGGTGAATTTAATTTAAAACCTCGGCTACTTTCCTTCATTGAACGTGCTCATATACACCAATATCCACTTACAAATGCAACCGAATATTATCCCAAACCATTTTGCCAGTCCCTAAATTGAGTTTTTTTTTCCTAAAGTATGGTGCAATTTGGGGGGAATTCCACAAAATTGCATTCTTTTGATCACCTGAAAAAAAATTACAGGCGTTCCGCCAGACCTTTTTCGATGACAATTCATTAACCGCGACGTTACTTTTGTACACTGCTCGAGGAGCAAAACAAGTCAGTTATAAGTTCTGACGAAAGGTTAATGCTCGAAACATCAGCTTTGAAACTCTGCACAGTGGTCATATCCTCAGCTAAGCTGATAAAATCAAATTATTTCGTTATACTGACCCACCGACGCAGCACCACATCTTCTTTAGAAGCTTACTCCATTTGTAAACACAAAATAACCACGTTGGAGTTTTTTATGACTATAATCTGCGTCGTAAGTCCGGAGAATGTATTACAATATTACAAAAAATTCTGACTTTCATTTACTTGTCATGCACAATAACAAAGCCGAGTTAGTTTGTTTCACAAACTGCACAAAACCCTTCTAAAATGACACTGTCTAACTCTTTGATCCAGAGATCAAACTACGGCTGTGTAATGTGTATATATATATGTCTGTCTGTCTGTCTGTCTGTCTGTAGGTGTGGGTGTGGGTGTGGGTGTGGGTGCGTGTGTGTGTGTGTATGTACTTTGTTATGGGTGTATAAGTCTGACAGATGTGTGCACGCACGTGATTATGCCTATTATTATAAAGCAACAAAAATGCTGTCATCCAAAAAGCCTTGCTCAACACGGACATTCCATTTTCAGCACTTTTTTTTCGGAATTGAAAGTTAGCATCTGTTTTTCTGGTTTGTTTGTTTCTTTCTTTCTTTTATCATCTCTTTGGACACTTCACCCTAGCCAAGACAGAAGAAAGCCTCTGATCATATTTGTGTTTGAACATTCACAAAATACAAAAGAATCATCACAAGTCATCATATTTGTCCAGCATGGCAAGTCTGGCATCTTTTCAGAACTCAAACTAAAATTGTAAATATTCATATGTACCATCTAAGGGAGATTAATTAAGAAATGTTCTGAAAAAAGGAGTTATTCTTAGGTTTATTGTGACCAAAGGAATAGGAAATTCCTTGGGGG